TGATCTTTGTGCATGGTGCTAGTGATGGACCAAGAATGTGTCTGACCAAGTGCCTCTGTAGGTTGGGGGATAGTAAGTAAAGCTCAGAGAACAGGAAACAGCTAAAGGAATGTTGCTAGAATCTACAAGGGGCATCATTTCCAGGAGGTCCCTCCTCTAGGCATTATATCAGCAACAGAACTTTGACTACAGCTGGGGCCTGTTTTCTTCTTCAATCTTTGTACTTGCTTTCCTCCCCTCTCACTTGTTTTATCCCAGAAATAACTTGAAGGAACAAAGTCCTTCCATAAAACATCCTTTGCTTCTCACTAATCAGACCTGACTAACTAGAGCGTATGATCATCCAAGACTCTGGTTTGAGTTGTCTAGGAAAGGGGCCAGCTTTTGCCTAAGGTCCTCCTTTGTTCATGTTCACTGTGATGCTTCTTCTTCTCTGGTTTGACCCCAGATCTAAGGGTTAGCCAGGAAACCTGCTTTCTTGTAAAGTTTGAGGGGGTAAGATTTTCAGGACAGTTGCCCCCCTCTTGTTTTGGGAAAATGAATCTTCAGGGGCTTTCCTCTAGGAATGGTGATGTGAGAAGTGGGGCTTGCTGAAGGATCTAGGTCTGCAGGGAGTTATAAACTTGCCCGTTTTTCTACTTTGAGTCCTGAGAAGAGTCCTGAGTGGTTCCCAATTGCTCCTAACTCCCCATCCCTGAATGACCCCTCTAGGACATCAGAGTTAGGATTCATAGTGATGATGCATGGGCTCAGGATGCGTGGGCTTTAGGGTCAAGCAGATCAGGATTTAAATTCTGCCTGACTCCACCATATTCTAATACCATCTCTTAGCAGGCCCCGAGCCTCCTATTGGACCCAGTGTTCTCCTCCCCTGAGTTAGGAGTGGTCTCTGCAGAGGACCTTGTTTCCTGGTGCTCTTCTGCATGCTGATCCTCAAGCAATCTTGAGTCTAACCCTTCTTATGCTATGTGCCTGGTACTGTGATAAGCACTTTGAGCATTGTTTTATATAATTCTCAAAATGGCAGTGTGAATTACGATTCTGACACCAGTTATGATGTATTTTTTCCCACACCACCAAGCAAAGCTCTTACACCAGCTAGATATCTTACAACTTAACTGTGACATTATCTACCTAGAGATAGTGTTGGATCCCACAGATTCAGGGCTCAGTCACACAATGGCCCCCTTACTTTGGGTGCCAATTGTGAGTCCAAATTTTCACTTGTGCTCCTAACTGGCTATAGATTGGAGGTTCCAAAATCCCTTCCTTGAGTTCAGTTAATTTGCTAGAGCATTCACAGAACTCAAGAGAGACATTTTACTTGCTAGATCATCAGTTTATTATAAAAGAATATAACTCTGGAACAGCCAGGTGGAAGAGATGCATAGGGCAAGGTGTGGGCAAAGGGGATGGAACTTCCATGATGTCTCCAAGTTTTCTATGCCACTCTCCCCAATCTCTATGTGTTCACCAACCTTGAGGCTCTTCAAAACCTGTCCTTTTTGTTTTTATGGAGGCCTTATTATGTAGGCATGATTGATTAAACCATTTTGGTGCTTGAACTGAATTCCCAGACCCTTTCCCCTCCTTGAAGGAGAGGGGTTAGGGCTTAAAGGTCTAACCCGCCATCACCTGATTGGTTCCTTGACAACGAGCCCACTTTTTCCCCATGTTTTTATTTAAATCCTAGTTAGTTAACATACATGGTAAAATTGATTTCAGGTGTAGAATTTAGTGATGATTCATCACTTACATATAATACCCAGTGCTCAACACAAGTGCCCTCCTTAATACTCATCACTCATATAGCCCATCCCCCACCTGCCTCCCTCTATCAACTGTTCTCTATAGTTGAGTCTCTTATCGTTTGCGTCCCCCTTTCTTTTTCTCCCTTCCCCTATGTTCATTTGTTTTATTTCTTAAATTCCACATATGAGTGAAATCATATGGTATTTGTCTTTCTCTGACTGACTTATTTTGCTTAGCATAATACCCTTTAGCTCCATCCATGTCATTGCAAATGGGAAGATTTTATTCTTTTTAATGGCTGAGTAATATCATATATATATATCACATCTTCTTTATCCATTCATCAGTTGATGGATATTTGGGCTCTTTCCGTAATTTGGCTATTGCTGATAATGTTATAAATATCAAGGTGTTACGCGCCCCTTTGAATTAGTATTTTTGTACCCTTTGGATAAATAGCTAGTAGTGCAATTGCTGGGTAATAGAGTAGCTCTATTTTTAACTTTTTGAGGAATCTCCACATTGTTTTCCATAGTGGCTGCACCAGTTTGCATTCCCACCCACAGTCTAAGAGGATTCCCCTTTCTCCACATCCTCACCAACATCTGTTGTTTCCTGTGTTGTTAATTTTAGCCATTCTGACAGGTGTGAAATGGTATCTCATTGTGGATTTGATTTGTATTTCCCTAACGACAAGTGATATTGAACCTCTTTTTCATGTGTCTGTTAGCCATCTGTATGTCTTCTTTGGAAAAATGTCTGTTCATGTTTTCTGCTCATTAACTGAACTATTTATTTTTTGGGTGTTGAGTTTGGTAAGTTCTTTAGACTTTGGATACTAATTCTTTATCAGAATAGTCACTGCAACCAGCCCTTTCTTAAAGTGACCTATCGGCTCTGGGAAAGTCAGCTCATTAACATGTCAAAAGGCACCTTTTTGGCTTTCATCACTTAGGAAATTCCATGGGTTATAGGGGCTCTGTGGCAGGAAAGAGGATAAAGGCCGAATATGTATGTCTTACTATAAATCACATATCACAGAAGTTAATGTAATCATTCCTGTTTTATAGCTGAGACTGAGTTCACTGAGATAACTTGTACAAAATCACACAAATTTTAAAAGGCAGGTCAGGCCCATCGGAACCCAGGTCTTTAAGGCTTAAAAGACAACACAGCATGCCTGGAGAGAGAAAAGGTGTTGGGGGCAGGCACCTGAGCTCAGTGTTGCCTACATTACAACTGTAGGACCTCATGTCCACTAAGCTTTCTCAGCTTCACCCTCCTCTTCTGTCGAATAAAGAGAAATATGCTGCAGGAGAGCTCTGAGAATGAAGTGAATTGGTATTTGTAAGATGCTTGTCACGTGGCATTGAGAAGTGCTGAATTTCCCACCCTCTCATCACCCCAACTTCTAGCCCAGGCTCTGTCATCTTCCCACCACATCATGCTGTTCCCAGCCCAGTATGGGAAATTGGGCAGGAACACAAATAAATATGATAGAAGAGAGAAAGCAGTAAGTACTATAGGAGCCAACAAGCTTTGTGAGGATGACCAAGGAGGACTTTGTGGAGACAGCAATATTAAATCCAGACCTGAAATGTTCAACAGATCTCAAGAGATAGAAAATGGATGAGAAGTCCCATAGATTCCACATTCGAGTAACTAGACAGGGCTGGGGTTAGGGGGTGATGGACATGTAAGTACCTCATAGACCAAAGGGCTGCTGTGTGTGAAATAGTGTTATTCAGGCCACGCTAGGTTCTAGACTAGGCTGGGCCACAGTACTTAGGCTCACACTCTAGGCTGAAATTGACTTGGAGCACTACCCCCAGGGAGCTTCCCACTGCCATCTGGTGGTCATCAGGAGCCCAGGCCCCAGCTGGAGGGGCTGACAGTAGAGCAGCCTCATCAAGGCAATCCCCCTTTGAGTGTGGCAAAGCCTGTGAGCAACCCTATTTCCACCCCCTGGAAAAGTTGGCATGAGAGAGAAAGGCCCAATATCTTGTCTTCAGCAAGTCAGACCAGCTGGGATTCTATTTTTAACCAGTACTGTTGTAGTTGACAGCTTGGAACGCCTTCTCCCTCCTTTTCTTCCTGCGCGTCCTGCCTCTTGCAGCCCAGGGCCCTGTAGAAAGGATGGATGGGAGCAGCCTCAGCACTGGTAAACAGAAGACCACTCTCCTTTCTCACTGTCCTCCACTCTACTCAGACTTTGTCCAGCCCAGTTAGCGGGTGGAGTTAGAGGTGGTACTGGCTGTGAGCTTAACGAGGTTAAATTTCAGGGATTTTCACTACACAGGCACCTTCCAAGGTCCTGGCAATTTTGTATCTGTAATTTTGTAGTCTTTTTCATAAAAAAAAGGGCACCCAATTTTATAAGCTCCAGGCCCCATAAAACTTGGGTCTGCCTCCTGATGAGTATGGCTTTTTTCCCAACTCCAGCTCTGTGTCTACTTCACTTGGATTTTTCCTGTCATGTTCTAATTTATTGTATGACCTTGAACAGCTTTATTTCCTGCTCTCTCAGTCTCAGTTTTCCCATCTGTTACAAGATGAAGTATCAAGAAAGCCTCCCAACATATCATACTTCTGAATATCCAAGTATGTTCCTTGGTGAGGTCATCTGTTCTTGCTTGTCATTATGTGTGGGGAGGGGTGATGTTGCTGTCTCTGCCTCTTTCTGGAGCTGGATCTGTGTTACAGTCAAAAGGGGGTTAGGCTCTGGGACTCTTCCTATTCAGATCCAGCATTTGCCTCCCCCTTTGTTGCTGGCCAGTAAAGATGATTCCATGGGGCAGAAGCTTGGCCAGATTCTGACACCAGAGAAGAGTGCATTAAAGAGGCCCCACTCTTTAGCTTCTGTATAGCTATCATGATCTGAACCCTGGTGTTGCAAACTGGGTCTTTTTATACAGTGCTTCCTCTTATCATTTCAATAAAATTTTAGTATCTATTAATATAGCAATGGCACTATTTCAGGAGAATGTGCTGAGGAATCGTGATGAATCATGGATATCTGACTTCCCACCCCCATCCCCATCCCCAGCACCCAGTATGACCCTGGCCTTTACGTGGGTCCAGGATGACAACCCAGGAGAATACCCACATCCCCATTGAGCCTCAGACTGTGGGCTTTTTGGCAGGAGGTCATGCACAAGAGTGAGCAGCGAAAAGAGAGACCTGGCAGGGAGGAGTCTACAAAATCCTGCACTCCTCACCTGCCCCCCAGAAAAAGTCCAGAAAGGAAGTTCAGGAAGGAAGCCAAGTCATTTTTATTTCTTGAGTTTGGGTGAGGGATGAGGGGCAGGGCCATACTGTTTAACTGGAAACGAATTAAGGGCCTTTTCAGTGCAAAATAGGCTGTTGGTCAGGGAGGTGTGAGATTAGGTTAGTTAATATTTTCAGTGCTGAAATGGGGAAGGGCACTGTGAGGTCAAACTGGGGGCACCCTGGAGCATCTCAGGAGTCAGTACTGTGCCAGGCTCCAGAGCCCTAAAGAATCAGTGCCATTACTATGTGTATATGAGAGGCAGCCCAGATTCTCTTAGAGTTTCCACTATGTATGGATAGTCCACTGCTAGGAATGCTGCTGTGTGTGTGTCTAAGTTCAGGGCCATGTTTCCACGTGCCAGGCTCAGTTCCATATCAACAGTGTGCTTTATTTCCTGTGTGCGAGTCTGGTTTGTTTCTTTTGTGTCAAGTAAGCCACTTGTGTATATGTGTGTGTGTTTGTGTGTGCTTTGGGATTAGTCCATGCTTTGGGGTGTAGTCTCCTTTGTCAGTGGATCTACCTCTCTTGTGTGTCTGGGTGGGTCCCTGCCTGTAGGAATGGGTGTGTCCCGTCTCAGCCTCCACTCTCCCCCTACCCCTCAGCCAGGCCCTAGCGTGCTGATGGTGGTGTAGCTCAGTCTGGACAGTGAAGCAATGGAAGGGGTGGGAGGGTCCTCGTCTGGAAGGGGCCGGGGGCGAGCTCGTGGAGGCCTGGGGCAGCAGCGGGCACACGTCTCAAGGCAGGCCTGGCGGAAGCGACGGTGCATGAAGCAGTAGACCAGGGGGTTGACGCAGGCTGAGGCGTAGCTCAGCAAGTGGATGAAAGAGATTGGCGCTCCTGAAAGTGCGCGGTGTGCACCAGAGCTGTCGAAGGCACGCCACGTGTTGGCACTATACAGTGGCAACCAACACAGGAAAAAAAGCACGACGATCACCAGCAACATCCGCACCACGCGCTTCTTGGCCAACAGCTTGGCCTGGTAGGGCCGGGGGCCACCTCCGGGCCCAGGAGTGGGCGCGGTCAGCGCGGACAGCTCCAGGGTCTGACGCGAGCGCGGAAGCTGCACGTAACAGCCGTCGCCATCCTCGCCAGCCAGCCCGCCCTCCGGCCGGCAACTCCCATTGCGGGGGGCAGGACCTGAGCACAGAGCCGGCGGTCAGAGCCGGCTGAGTCCTCTCGGCCTCCAGCCCCACCCCACCACACCCCCTGCCTCCAGCCCCCGCCTACTCACGCTCCTTCCTGGCCCACCCACCCTAGGCCCCGCCCCTTCCCAAGGCCGGGGGGGGGCGGGGGCGGGGCCGGGACCGGGGTGGGGAGGGCGCAGCGGGCTGGATCTCACCCACCTGGTCCCGCCCCACTCCGCAGCCCTCCTTGGCTTCGGACTCGGCCTTCGCTGTCACTGTCCTCGTCGAAGCGAAGCCCTAAGTAGAGCTCGCGGGAGATGAGCCCGTAGGCCACGGCCATAACCACGCCTGGGACGAAGAACAAAAGCAGGAGCAGCAGTACCGACCTGGAGACAGAGCAGATCAATCACATGGTAACCGTCCACCTATAATCACAGATGGAGGAAGAGCCAGGGCTTGTTTCTAGCGCTGGTGACCAGGCCCCTGAGGAGGAAGTGGTTTTTTTGGGTGCGGCTGGGAAGGGCTAGAGAACTGGGGAGCAGCCCCACATGGGTATTCCAGGGTGGTGGGTGCGGAAAGGGAATTGGAGGAAGATTCTGGGGAATGGGAGTAAACCCCTGATGGAGATGGAGAAAGGAATTCCCAGGAATAGGTAATGGGCACCCTCACCAGGTTTGGCGGACACGCGCACTGGGCCAACGATGCACGCACTGCAGCGCCCGGGCCCCTCCTGCGGGCTGTACGGCGGTGTACACCGGGTAGGGCACCATGAGCAGTCCAGAGAGCATCCAAGTGGCGATGATCACACGAGCCGCATGGGAACGCGTCTGCCACACGCGTGCTTGTAGCGGCCGGCAGATGGCACTGTATCGCTCCAGGGCGATGGCCACAAGGCTTAGTGTGGACACACTCACAGACACCCCTAAGCAAGGGAAGAGGAAGGGGTCACCTAGGAAACTTGTATTACACACTCAACCAGTGTGATTTTCTCAGGCCCCACTGGGAAAGATCCCCATGTACGCCAAGGACTTTAGGATGGGGGGGGTGTCTCACCTACCCATGAGGTAGGAAACTGCCTTACAGACGACTGTGCCAAAGATGAACGTGCCCATGAGATTGGGCAGGAGGGTGAAGGGCATGCAAGCCACAGCCAGCAGGAGGTCGCTGACTGCCAGTGAGAGCAGGAAGGCGTTGGTGACAGTCCTCAGCCGGCGACTCAGTCCCAGGACCACGATGATGAGCACATTTCCTCCAACACTCATCAGAAAGATCACTGCATAAAGGGTGACCCTAATGGCCAGCTCCAATTCTGGGTAGGAAAAGGAAGAGGTGGCAGTAGGGAGTCTGGGTCCCACTCAGCCAGACCCTCCAAGCCCACTCATTCCTCACCTCTGCTACCCAGCTAGATCCCTCTGCATCCCAGGAGCACCTCCTCCCACGCAGTGGATGGTGAACTTGACTCCTTCAGGCTGCTAACCCATTGAGGCTTAGGGAAATTGGCTTGCCTCCTCCTCTTCTTGAGAAAGTCTGTCTCTTCTCAAGCTTTGTTCCAAATTCTTGTTTCTCTTTACAGCTAAACTTCTTGAAAGGGTTATTTACATCTTCTCATTCACCCCTAAGTCCATGACAGTCCAGTGCCCTATCTCCTCCATCACCATTTGGACATTTCTCCCCAAGATCACGAAGCTTTAACTGCCAAATCCAAAGTTCTCTTCTCAGACTGTTCTACTTGATCCCCCTGTAGCATTTGACACTGTTGACCACCCCATTACCTTTTGAAACACAGGTGAGGTCATGTCCTACTTGTCTAAAACAACAACAACAACAACAACCCCTTTACCTGCTCTGTTCTGTCTGCAACCCTCTGCATGTTTTCCAGATTCTCTGCGAACTGTCCTCTTCCACCTCCCTCCTCCTCTTGCAATGCACCCACTTAAGCCACTGGATGACTCAGTTTCTTGAAGGCTTCATGCACGCTCATGCCTTCCCCCCTTGCTAACATTGATTTCTCAGCCTGGAATGTTCTTTCACCATCCCCCACTAATACCCTCCCCCCATCACAAACTTGTTTCCTGTATCTGGTAAATTCTTAATCACCACTGCCCTCCAAGATTCAGATTAACTGCCCCCCCTTTTGTAAGGCTTTTCTAGACACCTCATTTGGAGCTAATCTCCTCTTCCTCTGACCCATGCATGTTCCTTACATATCTATTAGAATGCTTTTTCTTTTCTGCCTTGTATTTTAATTATCTCCAAACATTCATTCTCACTAAACAAACATTTACAGAGGACTCCCTTTGTGCTAGGCACTGGGGACAAAGAGATGAACATGACAAATTCTCTGCCATGTGAAAGCTCACAGTGTAGAGGGAAACTTGGATTTATAAACAGATAATTGCCACACAGTGTGATAAGGAGTGAAGTTGAGGATTATACAAAGTGCTGTAGGAGCTCACAGGAGGAAGACTAGTGTTGCTGGGCGAGACAGAGGGCTGACCCCATTCATTTGTGTCATTGTCTATTGGGAGATGGATTCGTCTTTGGGCCTCTATATCACAGCCAGGCAGATCAAAGGAAAATTGAATTGAATTAAACTGGTCTCAGTCACCCAAACCATGGCCTCAGCATGAGGAAGACCAGAGCTTGAAGGGAGAGAGGGCAGGGACAGAGCCTTCAAGGTTGTGGGGGAAGGAAGGGCCCAGAGGGGCAACCCCCTTCTGCAGTCCCATACATTGACTTTTGCCTTAGGTTCTGAATTAAACTGTTTTCATAACAATAACCAATTTATTTGAAATGGGTGTAGGCATCTAGTGAATGCTATTTACAAAAGATTCCTGAACAGAACCCAGCAGAGACATTACTTGCTCAGATCACAAGCCAAGTAAGGTGCTGCTGAATCAGAATGGCAGCCGAGTCTCCAGATCTCTAAAATGCTTTGCCTCCTACTACTTCCTCACCCCTCTGTCATTCATCACGCTGCCTCCTTCTCCCAATCAAATCTCAATCTCTGTGCCTCCTTCTGCCTCTCTGTACTCCAGGGTGGCATTGCTCACTGTATTATGTTTAGCCCTCTATCTCCTCCACTGGACTGTGAGCTTCTTGAGGACAGGGGCAAAGCCCATCTTGTTCTTCAGCTTATTCCTAGCATTTAGCATAATGCCCTGCCCATAAAACATGTGCCCATGTTCACACATGCTGGCTAATGAATTTTGAATGAATCTCTGTCACTTTCCACACAAATGCACCTGCTTTGTCCTTCCCCATTCTTGCTTCCCCTCTGTGCCTCTAAAGCTCCAGCATGCCCCTTTCTCCCTCTGTTTCTCTGGAGACACATGTCTCCTTCTCTGCAAGGAAGGCTTATGCATAGCAAATTTGATGTGTGTGTGTGTGTGTGTGTGTGTGTGTGTGTGTGTAAATAAAGAACATCTAGGAGGGAGAGCTCTGTCAGAGAGGTCCTTGGACCCAGAAAAAGAGCTGGTAGTCTATTCTGCACATTTTGTGTCTCCTCTCCCCCCACCCTTTTCTTAATCTCTCTAGTTCTATCAATTTTTCTCAGATCCTCCTCTGCATGTCTCTTTTCAACTAGTTCTTTTTTCAAAAAAGTTTTATTTATTTGAGAGAGAAAGAGAGAGAGAGAGAATGGGGGAGGAGCAGAAGGAGAAGGAAAGAAAATCTTAAGCAGACTGAGTAAGAAACTTGATGTGGGGCTTGATCTCAAGACCCTGAGATCATGACCTGAGCTGAAATCAAGAGCCGGCCCCTTAACCAACTGAGCAACCCAGGCACCCCTTTAACTAGTTTTTGAATCAAAAACCACACTTCAAGTTGGTATAGCACTCTGAGTATGGAAAGCACATTTCTCATTCATTCATCCAACAGATGTATCCCATGTATATCCCTGAAGTTGGTGGAGCAAAGATGAAACTATGCCCACTTTTACGAAGTTCTCAATCTGCATGGGGACTCCAAAAAACTAGAGTCTCAGTAAAATTGCCCATCACTTTTTTGTTTTGCTGGGCATTCCCTTATTTCCAGCCACCACTATCTTTCCTAGTCTTTACTGTTGAGCAGTTAGGAGATGTGAAAAAAAAATCTTAGAGCTAGAAGTCTGGGGGGAGGGAGGAAAGATGAAAAGGTAGATCACAGGGTTTTTAGGGCAGTGAAACTGTTCTGTATGGTACTAAGGTAGATAGATGTTATTATATATTTGTTAAAACCCATAGAATATATAACAAAAAGAATGAGCCCTAATGTAAACTATGGAATTTAGCTAATAATATATCAATACTGGGTTATCAATTGTAACAAATGTATTGCATTAATATAAGATATTAAAAATAGGGGAATGAGTGTGTGTGTGAGAGAGAGAACTTCCTGTGCTTTCCATTCATTTTTTCTGTAAATCTGAAACTACTGTAAAAGTAATCTATTAGTGGGTGCCTGGGTGACTCGGTCTGTTAAGCATCTGACTCTTGATTTCAGTTCAGGTCTTGATCTCAGGGCCATGAGTTCAAGTCCTGTGGCTCCATGCTAGACATGGAACCTACTTAAGTAAGTAAGTAAGTAAATAAATACATAAATAAATAAATGTCTATTCGTTTTCTCAAAAGTCACAAAAAAGCAACTGGAATGAAGATTTGTGTGTGTGCTTCTGTCTACGTGTATGCATCTGTGTGCATTTGTATGGTGTAACGGGAGTGATCACAGTGGCTTCAACAACTAGGAACTTGATGTAGGGGTAGAAGAATGGGAGAGGCATTTTTTTTTAATATGAGTGCCTTGATTACCTGTGGGCATCATCCTGCTGAGCCAGGGAATTCAGAAGACTTTGGCAGTTCATTTCTGCTTCTGGGGTCTAGAGGATCTGCATTTGTTCTGTCCATATGATGACAGAGAAGTATGAGCACAAAAATCCAGATAATGTGCCATAAAACAAAAATCAGTACTTTATAAGAAATAACACTGAAGCTGCTGATGCCTCAAATCCTACCTTCCACAGGTATATTGGATCTGGTCACTCATGAACACAGATGTCAAGGTAATGCTGTGGTGAGCGTGGATAGCATCCAATTGATTGTGGGTAATAGCTGGGAAAATGGGGATATCTGAATGTTAATGGGCACTACCTGAGGGAGCAGGAATAGTATAGAAGGATGTATAGGCAATATCAGAGTGAAAATTGGATAAAACTAGTCTTTGAGATAATATCTGGGTGGGTGAGAGTAATGCTTCTTTTTGTGGACAAGGTCTGAGGTGGGTAACAGCTATGTGTCTGTAGGCAATGCCTGATTGAGTGTGGGTTACATGTAGATTTAGATAATATCCGAGCAAGTGCTGTAACACTTGTTCCAATTTTAGTATAGGTGCTGCTGAAGTGAGCAAGAGCAATTGTAACATCTGAGTGAGCAAAGGTAATATCTGTAGATATGTTTGTGGATAACATCTCATTTTGTAGATAACAGCTTTCAGGAAACGTGGATTACATTCAGAGGTCTGAATGTAATTGGGGGAATATCTAAGTATGATGGTAGTAGCAGAGAAAGCAGAAGTAATATCCAAGTATGTGTGGGCTATATTTAAGTGGGTATGGATGTGAGATGCTAACATGTTAAGATGTTAAGTGAGATACTAATCTGACTGAGTAAAATAACTGAGTACCTGAGCGAACACAGGTAATATTTGAGTCTTTGTGGAATATCTGAATGTATGCGGGTAACATCTATGATTTTATGAGTAATATCTGGAAAGGTTGCTTAAGTGAGCATGGGCAATATCTATGTGTGGATAATAAAATGAAAGCAAGTGTGTTTGATGGATGACTGACATCTAAATATCTGTGGGCAATGTTAAAGTAACTGTGGGTGACAGCTGTTGTTCTGTGGATAGCATCCAAGTGAACATTAGCACTCAGGTCTGTGTGGATAACATATAAGACTAATGTGGGTAACATCCACATTTCTACTGGTAACACTGGAGTGAGCCTGGCTAACATGCATCTGTGGGGGTATTTAATATCTGAGTGAGTGGCTAAGGGTCTTCGTGGGTAACTTCTAACTGCCTGCGTAACATACAGTTCTGTGTAGACGACAACATCCAGATGAGGAAGGGCAATTCTTGCACCTGTGCTCTGAATCACTTCATGTTCTGCTTTCTCAGGGTCCCCTGCTCTGATGACTATCCCTGCTCTCTGCTACACCTTCAGCCTTTCTCTCTCTTGGCCCATTCTTCATCAACATTTTAAAAAGACTCGTGCCTTTACTGTGTACACACACACACACACACACACACACACACACACAAAGACAATTCCCTTACTACACACAACATTCCTCAACCCCGTGCTATTTCTAGACACTATCCTATTTCTTCCAGAAGTCTTGTCTACATACCTGGTTCATTTCTCATAAGCCCCTCCCCCACTGTCCCAAACCTCAACCTACTGTAAGTCAGGCCTTAACACCCATAACTCCTCCTTGTTAGGACTTCCTCCTTACTGGATCTGAAGGATGCTGTTCTGTCCTTATTGACTTACGTCAGCAGCATTTGACATCATGTATCCCACCCTGCTTGAACTCTTTTCCTTGCCTTCTTATCTCTCTGATGGCTTCATCATGAACTCTCCTTCCTTTGCTTGGCTTTTAAATACCAGTCTCCTGGGCAGCCCAGGTGGCTCAGCGGTTTAGTGCCACCTTTGGCCCAGGGTCTGATCCTGGACACCTGGGATCAAGTCCCACGTCAGACTCCCTGCATGGAGCCTGCTTCTCCCTCTGCCTGTGTCTCTGCCTCTCTCTCTCTCTCTCTCTCTCTCTCTCTCTCTCTGTGTGTGTGTGTGTCTCTCATGAATAAATAAATAAAATCTTGAAAAAAATATCAATTTCCTTTGGGGTTCTGCCCCAGGACCTCTTTTCTTTTTATCCTATATAATCTTTGTATGATTTTATCTATTCCCGTGGCTTCCATTAAATCCTGTAGGCAAAGACATTTTTAAATCTGTATTTTCAGCTGATACCTCTCCCCTAAGATCCTGACCAGGTTCAACAGTTCACTGGCTAACCACACCTGGGCATCTCACCAGCATTTAAACTCAGTGGGTTCCAAGCTGAATTTATAATCTTCTCCTTCAAACTTGTTTCTGTTCCTTTGTTTTCTTCATGATATAGCACCAACATCCATCTATTTGTCCAAGCCAGAGACCTAGATGTCATCCCCTGACCTCTTCCTCCCTCTCCATTTCTAATGAATCACCAAATTCTGTTGATTCCTTCCAGAAGTGCTTCTCAAATCCACCCACTTCTCCCCATCCCCACTGTGAATACCTTAGTCTAAGCCCCCATCATCTTTCACCAGAGTAATATAATAGCCTTCTAAAGTGTCCCCCAGCCCCCACCTTTCATTTTTTAAAAAGATTTTTATTAATTTATTCATGAGAGACAGAGAAAGAGAGGCAGAGAGAGGCAGGCTCCATGCAGGGAGTCCGATACAGGATTCGATCCTAGGACTCCAGGATCACGCCCTGGGTTGAAGGCAGGCGATTAACCACTGAGCCACCCAGGCGTCCCAAGCCCCAACCTTTCCTATCTTGTACTCCAGTCCATCCTCTACACTATAGAACTAATCCTGGCTGTACTGTGGAGCCTTTCAGTAGTTGCCATTACCCTCATAATAAAAAATCCACACTCCTGGGGTACCTTGGCAGCTCAGTGGGTTAAGTATCTGCTTTCAGTTCAGGTCATGATCCCAGGGTCTTGGGATTGAGCCCCAGGTTGGTTGCACTGGCTCCCTGCTCAGCGGGGAGTCTGCTTCTCCCTTTCCCTTTGCTCCTCCCCCTGGCTCATGCTCATTCTCTCAAATAAATAAATAAATAAATAAATAAATAAATAAATAAATAAAATCTTAAAAAAAAAATCCCCACTCCTTAGCCTGGTCCATGAGGCTCTTCATAAACCCTCTAGGCTGGTCTTCATCCCGAGTGCTCATTTTCCCTCTCTTATAGTGTATGTTTCAGGCACTCAGAAATTGACACAGCGAACGAACGTGCCATAGATTTAAACTTTGGGCACTTAATCATATTGTTCCTCGGCTTAGAATGCTGTTTTTTTTTTTTTTTTTTTTTTTTTTTTTTTTTTTGCCATTCCTGCCCCTTCACTTGTTTGGCTTTCCTTCATCTTTTTAATTTTTATTCAGTTACTTCTCAGGAGGCTGACTTCAAGACCAAGCTCCCAGGTTCACCTCGTCTATGAAGTTCTTGGTTTCCATCTCCTTTGGGTGCCCACAATTCAGACCCTTTCCTGGGACTTCTCACGCTGTTTTTTTCTCACTGGTTTGTCTCCCTTTGCACTTGACTGTGGACAGAAGAGGGTCTAGACTGGGTCTGTTTCATCCCTATGTCCCCAGCACTTGCTCAACTACAACAGCAGGTGTTCAGGAGACATTTAAGGAAAGAGAAAAGGTTTAGGAAGGGAAAACATATATTGTGAGCTGGGTTATCAAGAAAATGCGGCTGTTGGCCCGTGGGAGGAGTGAAAGTCATTTTGGGGACTGAGTAAGTGGAACCACTGGGGGTGGGGAAGAGATGGTGGCACAATGGATAGGAGATGAAGGGCGAAGCCAGGCTGTAAGAAGATGAGACCTAAGGAGAGGCAGGCTGGAGAGGGGCCTTGGAAGGGCCTGGGAGACAGAAGAGAGAGGGGACAGAGTCTTGATTAGAATTCTACCTTGGGAGGCTGGAGGATTTGAGGAGTGAAATGGAGACAGGCAGCTCTAGGGAGCAGCCCCCAATGTCCAGCCTAACTCAGGTTTGAGGCTCTCTTCTGGCGAGGCTGGGGGTTGGGGTGGGGGACACAGGAGATTATAACTCTGACTTCCCATTTAAGCCTTCCATAGTGCTCCCTCCCTCCTCCAACCCTCTTCTTTCCCCAGTCTTGCCTTCTTTTCTTTTCTTTCCTTCCCCATTGTGGCTCTGTGAACTGGATTTAAAAGGAAGAGAGACCTGGAGGGAAGAGGAGGTCCTGGCCCCCGACCGTCTGTGTCTAGAAGGGTGCTCTGTGTTGGGTGCGGCCGGGAGCCCCCGGTGTGAGGGGGCTCCCATCAGGTGGTGTGAAGCTGTGATGGAGTTTTTAATGAGCTGGGGAGGGCACGGGGCGGGGGGCAGAAGTGTCGGGGGAGCTGTTTGGGGACTGAGGGAGTACTGAGGGGATGGTGCAGGCGTCCGGGGAGGCAGTGGGGGCCTCTACCGGTGTGGGGTGCAGCGAGAAGGAGCTGGTGGAGGGGGTTTAGGGAGGCACCCACCTCGTGTCCCGGCTCCGCGGAGGCGAGGCGGCTCGCAGCTGAGATTGCCCGCACCGCTGCTGTTGAGGAGGGCGCCCCCCGCGCGGCACAGGGAAGCCCCCGGCCCGGCTCCGGACCCCTGCGCGCTCCGGTTCAGCTTTAGCAGCTCCATGGCCCCGGCCCAGCCACCGCCTCCCTCCGCTCGGCCGGGCGGGCTCCCGCTGCGGCTCCACCTGCTCGCGCCTCGGCTCGGGCGGAGGCTCCCGCCCCGCCTGGTCCCCGCCCCCAGCCTTGGCCCCTGCCCCGCCGCTCCTCCTCTGCGCGCCCCGCCTAGGCTCGCCTCCCCGCCGGGCTCGGCCGCCGCGGTCCCGCCAGGTGACTCCCCGCCCCCCTCCCACGCTCAGGACTCGCGCTCCCCGCCCCCCGACTGGCCTTCAGGCTCGCGCCCTCCCCGGGCTCCCGGGTTTTCTCCTAGAGATTTCCTTCCCGCCCACTCCCCTTCGCCACCGTCCCTCGGTGGAATTCTTGGGAGTGTGCGTGTGTGTGTGCGCGTGTGTGTGCGCGTGTGTGCGTGTATGGACGAGGGTAGCGGTGGGGGTTACGGGTGGATGGAGGGGTGGCGGGGAGGGAGGTGCGGGAGGGGGAGAGGGTAAGAGGAGTTAGGGCGCGGCTGCCGTGGGATCCGGCATTTCCCCCTGGTGGGTCAGGGGACGTGGAGGTGGCACTTAACACGGTGGCATCAGCCGCGGGTTACTGTCCTGTGCTGCAGTGGCCCCAGTGACCGTGACACTATCGCTCTCATAGTTCCCTGAATCTCTTCGCCAAGGGGCTGGGGCGGCCCCTGCATCTGCCCCTGCATCTGCCCGCACACCCTCCGCCTCCTATCTTGGGGCGCAACACCCAGGCTCCCAAGGAACCCTCCGCCCCGGGGGCAAGGACGCCGGCGGGGCGGGGTGTGTGCGGGGGTGTTGGCGGGCAGCACTTGTCCTCGGGCAATCTTGGCCCGCAAAAAGGCTGCGCGGAGGAAGAGTCTGACTTGGGTGTCAGGGCCGCCTGGGTAGCAGTGAGAACAGCTTAGAATAAACGGGGGGGGGGGGGGGGCCGCTCATGGTGGGGCTTGGTTCCAATCCCGGCCCAGCCCTGGGCACAAGAGGAAAGGGGGAGGCTGGCTCTCAAGGTCTCCAGGCAGCGCCCACCCTCGCCCACCCTCACCGACACACTGGCCCTCCCTGTTTGCTCCCAGTGCAGGTGGAGCAGCCATGTGCGGGGGTGGGGTGGGGTGGGGGGGTGGGGGTGGGGTCAGGTTCCCAGGAGAGGGGACCGGAAAGGGGCCAGATCCCTGGGGTGCAGCGGGAGCAAAGCTTAAGGGGACAAGCACAGGCCTGAGGTGGTGGCCTCAGTTCCTCTGGCAGGACCTGCCTCCACTAATATTGCAGGCGTGCTGGCTTTCCATTCTTCATTCCAAGGAAACTCCAATATGACCTTGAAATTCCACTCATGGGCTCCCAGCAGTATCTGTTGGAGGTGGGGGCACCCGTCAAAGAGCAGATTAGACTGTGCATGAGGTCTGAGTTTCTGGGGAATTCAGAGAGCCCTATCCAATCTATATTTTGGAGAGGACCTGTTCCAGCTAGCACGGAGTTTATAAGGAGGATTTAAGCCTGGGGTGGGTGGGGATGTTGTCACCTGTCTCCCCCCCACTCCCCTCCTCCTGGCACTGGTTGCCTTCCCCATCAGAGTGCCCTGGACCAGAAGAGCCTGATTTGCTGTTTGTTCAGCTCCAGCACAGGTGGCACCTCAGATAACCTGCTGGACTTTTCCCACATTGGATGACGGCAGGGTGTGGGGGCGGGGAGTAAAGGAAATGTAGGAGGGAGAGAGGAGTGGAAATAGGAGGAGATGGGCATTCACTTATTCAGCAAAGCATGTGCCAACTATAGGGCTGTTTACTAGCTGTCTCTTGCATTCTGTGCCCCAGTAGCTCCAGCTCTCCTGGGGGAGAAAGTGACAGGTAAGCCAACCATTATGACATATGGTTGGATGTACATCTGCGAAGATGCACCAGTCAGAAATTTAGGAATCAGCCTGGCTGCCTTACTCCCTTATGCTCCACCGGAGCAGAGGCTATGACAAAAAGCCCAGACTCCTCTCCAAATGTGAGGGATTTATTCTGCAGCTGCTGAGAGTGCTTCGGGAAGTCAGCTTGCACCTTCCAGCCCCTGTGGGAGTTGGCTGAGCCGAGGAAAAGCCTGTTCAGGCGAGGTCATGTTCCCTTCCTGAAGCATCCTGCATCCAGTGACTGCTCAGCACAGTGCCTCAAGGGTTTGACCTAGGCCATTGTGGGGACTGAGTCACTGCTCCCCTTCTCCCTTCACCCGGTCCTTCTTTCATCCTTGCTCTTGCACAGGTGTTGACTCCAAGAGCACTCCTTAGTAAACATCCTCCACAGTAATCTCTGTCTTAGACTCTGCTTCCTGGGGAACATAACTGCCTCCCTCCCGTAGTCAATCAATCATGAAGTCCTGTTGATTTTAGCCACTGAGTGTTCCTTGAATCCATCTGCTTATATCTGCGCTGACACTATCCCATTGCTTCTTGCACTGCTTTCCTAGCTTCTTCAGTGGTCCACCACATTTACAGATGCCTCCTTACATCCATCCTCCACCTTATAGCCAGAGTGATATGTGCAGAGCACAAATCTGATTGTGCCACTCTTCTGACCTTTGCCTTGGGGATAGAGAAAATCTTTTCACAGTCCCTGAAGGCTGTGTGATCTGGCTCCTCCTGACCTCTCTAACCACCTTATTTCAAGTCCCTATGCATCTTGTTCTCTCCATTGTAGACACACTGGCCTTTCTTGAGTCCATTTTTTTTGAGTTTATGTCTGCCAGTTATATGACTTTTGCACATGGTCTCTAAAAACTTTCCTTCCTTATCTAATTAACTCCTGCTCATCTTTCTCATCTCAGCTCAAGGTATCAGAATTTCTCAGGGATGTTTTTCCTGGCTTCCCCTCCTGTGGTAGGTGGAATTATGAAATGGCACCAAAGGATTTTCACTTTTGTATAATCTTCTTCCCTAGAGTGTGGGTAGAATCTGTAAATATGATGAGATGCTACTTCCATGATTATGTTATATGACAAAAGAGATTTTGCAGATGTAATTAATGTTACTAATCAGTTGACCTCAAGGTAAAGAGATTATCCAACTCGTCCTAGCCAAATCACAAGAATTTACTCTGATATGCAGCAAAAGAGGAGGTCAGAGAGATTTGAAGAAGAATTCACACACTGTTGCTGGTTTGAAGATGGAGGGGGCCACTCGGCAAGGAATGCAAAGGGCTGTGGCTGGCTTGATGAAGGAGCAGGGGGCAGAGCAGGTACCTGAGAGTGGCCTCTAGCTGAGAGCAGTCTCTGGCTGACAGCCAGCCAGAAAATAGGCACTTTAGTCTTACAACCACAGGGAACAAGATTCTGCTAATGACAAAAATGAGCTTAGAAAAGGGTATCCCCCCACCAATCCCTGAGCCTCCAGAAAAGAATTTCATCTGGTTGACACTTTGACTTCAGCCTGGTGATGCCCTGAGCAGAGGATCCTCAGCCGTACTCTACCAGACTTCTGGCCCACATGTCTGCAACCTAATAAATTGATGTTGTTTTAAGCTTCCAGATTCAGGGTAATTTGCTATAGTCGCAATAGAAAACTAACACATTTGCAAGCGATGCAAGGAAGAAGTGGAAGCACTGGAAATTTGTTAGGATTTAGAAAGACTTGGAGTAACTGCTATGGCAGCTGAGATGGAGGGCACAATAAGGGGTGGGACCAGTTGATAGTCCATGACATAACTCAGGTGACATATAATAGCAGTTTCAATGAAGCTTCAAAGCTTCAGTTTAAAGTCATGAAAGTAGTGGATAAGAGGGACCCAGGAGCTACTTAGGATGTAGGCAGAATTTAGAGGATGCTTCCATGTGGAGGGTGAAGGAGAAGGATGCCACTTAACATGCATAAGTTTTCTGGTAACTGGATAGGAAATGTTTGATGATCACCTACTCTGTTCAAAGCACATTAGTTTTAATCCTCACCAAGCACTGTACATTTAAGTACAATATGACTGATCACTATTTTAGCTGAAAAAACTGTGGCTTTAAGAGGGTTTAGGAAACTTGCCCAAAGCCACAAAATTACTAGGTGAAAAAGTTACAATTCAAAGCCAGGGATTTGGGGCATTAGAATTCAGGTGCTCATACTATGATGCTTCTAAGAATGAGCAAAAGTTTTACTGAGTTTCTCTGACTACCTTCTTTCTCTCATTGTACACAATATTTTTTTCCAATGTTTTTGGGCTCGTAAAATCTCTCATGTCCTCTCCCCACCCCTCCATGCTCATATACCATCCTTCACTCACAATAAATAACCCGGTCCTCCCACTTCACAGAGAAAATAGCAACTATCAGACAGCAACTCCCACCAGCGAATCTGTTCCATTTTGGACATGGTAAGTTTCAGATGCTTATTAGACATCTAAGTAGGAATTCCAGTAGGAAGCTGAATATACAGGTTGCATAGGAAATAATGCAAACCATAGAATTAATGATAGTGTGTTAAATAAGAAGAAATGAGAAGCCAGGTCAGAAGTCTGGGAAAAAAAACCATATTTAAAGGTTGAATTGAGAAAGGCCAGCCTGGGAAAGAGATCAAGCAGAGTAGACAGAGGTGGGAGGAAAAGAAGGGGAACAGCCATCATAAAAAAGAAAGGAAAACTAATAAAAGAGAAAGAAGGATGAGGGAGAAGGAGAAGAGGAGAGAAATGGAGAGAGAAAGGAAGGGGAGGAGAGAGAATGAGAAGTTAATTAATTTTTAATGCAAGATTTCTAAGAAGGCAGGGGAGGTATGGAATCCACAGCACGTGTGGAAGGTTCTATCTTTCAATAGGGGTAAAGACTCAATTGTAAGAGGAAGTTAGAAGAGAATAATCATAGATGGAAAATAAGTCACTGCCAACCAGCTAACAATTATTATTTTCTAGACACCATGGCAGCTAAGTGTGGCTTTATGACCACGTTCTGGACAGTGGTTATGGGCAAAAGTTATAAGTACAGCTTCAAGATCAAGCTTTTACAGGAGAGGAGTGGACTGCTTCTTCCTCATTGTCCTTTCCTGTAGGTTGAATGTGAATGTGAGGGCAAGCCATCTTCAGTCATGCCATGAGGGTGACACACTAGGGATGGCGGAGTGATAAGATGGT